AGGCCATTTTACAGACTGGTCAAAGACTGGAACTATGGGGACGAGAACCTGAAGCGACTAAGGCAGTATGCTCCATCTTCGGTTTAGTCCCTGGCGAGGATAGACTGTTTGCGAATACTATACTTTTAAGGCTTGCGGACGCATTTCGCTTTGGTGATAAGAAAATCAGGCTGTCTATTGTCAGAATTTTCTTGACAAATATCAGGTGTGATAAGAGCAGCAAACATAGGAAGCAAAAGAGACGAACGTTTCTAAATAGCAGAGTGAATAACCATGAAGAACTGTTGAGGAGAGTGAAGATTGTTTTGGACACAGGTGACGTTGAGTCGAGAGCAATGGCTTTAGTTCTATTTGGTTGTTGGGCTGATTTTGCAAAAGATAGTGCGGAGATACGGTACTTGGTACTCTCCAGTATGGTCTCTTCCGATATATTGGAGGTTAGTTCGGTGTCTCAACATCAGTATTTCTGCTGCAGAAAACGAAATGTTCTTCTTGTTGTTATTTGAACATTCCTTCAAATCTGTTTTTCTACCCTTTCTTAAAGAATGTGATTACCTGAGCTTGTTTGAGCCTAAACTAAAGTGTTTAACTTAGATTAGGATCCTCAATCGTGTTAGACATTATATAAGTTCCCAATCACACACATCTGCAGATACTTATCTTGCCCCCATAGATTATCAACCTGCCTTCACAAACACCGAAGAAATAAAAGATAAGAAACATTATTATTGAATATGCCATTATTTACAGGCCACTTACAGTAACATATTTTTGGAACACAAGAAAGGCTTATTCTCCGCATTTGCATGATTTCTATAGGTTAAAGCATCATTGTTTGCTGCCAGTCGGTTTTGTGAGTTAACAGATGACTTTGCATCTGTTGTCTTGGAGATGCTGGCGAATATGATGGCTTCGCCAGAAACACCGGCAGCTGCAAGGTTAGCAGGTGCAAGTGTTTTTACTAGAATGAGTTACTCATATTCAGTTTCAAGAAGTGCTTACAAGGTTTTGTGCTCCCTTCCCCTCTATCCCATTCACTCATATCCTGAAACATGCATATTCCAATTTGCATTTCTAAATACAACTTTCTGCTTATTGTGCGAAATTATGACCAGGCCTGCAAAGGACAATTTTATCCATGACCATATCATGGATTGGTACAAGGTTTTCAGGGCCTTTTTGACATGTTATTTTGAAGAGGAGGCATTTAGTGTTAAATTAATTATTGCCTGTTGCATCCATTTTAAAGAATCGAGTCCTACACATGAGGCGCATTGCATATGCCTTCAAAAATTTTCCAACATATGATACTCCAATTAGGCACAATAGTGTGACCATTGTTGCTATATACTGTTATTGTGAGGTACTATTTATCTACCGGTCCCATATGTGATGCAACAATAGAATGATCTTGGTGACAGGTAGAAATCAGTATTCTACTCAAATAATTAATTCCTGCTGCAAACTCCCTGTTTGGAATTTTTTTATCTTAGCTCACATAAGTCACTGCTTTCTTGCAGACCGGTGTAAAGCTGGTGTCAGATTCTTCAGAAGAGAATTTCATCATTGCCATGCTGGTTTCACTCTCAAAACTAGTTTCCAAGTCTACAAGTCTTATTTCTGAACAGGTATTCCTTCTAGCACCAGTTCATGCGGTCGGGGCAGGCCCCGGTGAATGCTTATTCTCAATCTCTCTTTCTTGCAATACATTTCATGTGGGATGACTTTTTTAATATGTTTGTCTTTCCATTTGGATACAGGTGGATGTGCTTTTGCGATGTGTAACCCAGGAAAATAGTTTGCAGATTCGAGTAACAGCATTAAGGTGTTTGCATCTTATTTTTGTAAAAGAAGGGTGTTGCTCTCCCGGAAATACGTACGCGATCAAAGCTTTATTCAGCTTACTAGATGAACTGGAACTTCCATCAGTCATGCATTGGAGAGCTCTCCAGATTTTACATAAGGTTCTCTTTAAGCAAATCATAAATGAGTTGTTTAGTATCATTTGGTTTAAACTTTGTTGATCATTTTGGGCAATTTGCAGATCCTTTTGTATACGATACCTGGTCTCTCATCTTTAGAGAAGCTCGAATTTGCTCAGATATTAGCCATTCTACAAAATGCATCTCTGTCTCCAATCATGTCAAAGAGCCTTGCTGCTCTTCGAATTCTTACAGATATGTCAACGATACTTTGGGCAAGAACAAATAGTGAATCTTTTGCTGTTTATTCCTCACCTCTGCCACTGCAGGTCATCTCTTTAGTTATGGCACAGGTCAGATCACTGGTGAAGCCATCATCTGATACTTGCCAGACTAGTAACAGAATATTGCAAAAAGTTAAAAACCTTCTTAATCTAATTCTTCAGCTTGTTGGGGAACATCTGGATTTGGGTGTGACAGTGCTGGGTGAAATCAGTTCATTTATCAAATATTTTGCAAATCTAAATGAAAATGCTTTGGCTAGTAAACACATTGCTTCAGGTGAGGTTATTGACTTTGAGGAAGATATGGGCAAAGTCTTCAGGTCCAAGCTTTTATCAGACATACACCGGTTTGTGTCTGCCTGTCTTCAAATCCTCAGTGAAGCTGGTGCAATCACTGCCAGTGTCTTTGACAAAGTACAACTTCTGGTGGAGCATCTACATCATGGCAGAGTATTTGATTACTATACACGTACCATTTACTCTTTGCTATTGCATTCTCGTCCTGTTGGAATTCTTAATGAACACCCATTTAAGCAAGAACTTGCTACCCTTGAGCATGCCTGCAAAATGATGTCAGCGAGGGATAACTGGTATGCCTATAAAGCAGGAATATACGCGACAAGTCAGGGAGCATGGGTTACAGCAACTTTTATTTTTACACAGCTAATTAAAAGAGTTCAGTCTGATTCCTGTTATTGCTGGCTTAAATCGTTAGTTCAGTTTTCCCATTCTGAGGCAAAACTCTGGCTTAGTTCTTTGGCAAAGCAAGAGTCTTTCTTAGTAGGTTCAGTGGTAATGAATGAACTCCTTACTTTTTTGAAAGATAATTTTGGAGAACTTGGACAAGATGCCGCAGGGAATGACAGTGTGCTTAATTATAGGGATATTCTTGTTGGGGCATACCATAATGCATGTTCTTCCATAGAAACATTAGAAAGATTAGTCATATCTCAAAAGGCATTCTGTTTCCAGAGATGGTTCTTTTCTCTTAGAACAAAGTTTCTTTGGGCTGTTGGCGAGATTCTTGAAGTGTTGGACGCATCTAAGCAGGAAATTTTTAGCAACATGATTGAGGTTCAGAACAATGCTTTGACTAACGTCAAATGTCTAGAAAAATTCACGCACTTTTCTTTCCGGCTGAATAGACTAGCGAAGGAATTGGATCTGATAAACTCATCTTTCATCGGTATGGAAAGTGAGAGTTTGAAAGTCATTGCAACACTTGCACTTAGCTGCTCTGTATTGGCCTTTAGTACCGGATTCCCAGTTTTCTTTCCAAATATCCCTGCTCATAAAAATTTAAGAACTCGTGATCAAGAGGATGCAGAGCATAGCAATTTAAGTTCGATGCTACTGCAAGATTTGCTGGGGCGTTTATTGCACATCGACCAAGAGATTAGCATGGATCTCTGTCTACTTTTGGAGAGTGGAGGATATCCCAGAAAATGTTTTCACCTGCAATCCAGAAATTGTATACCGAAAAGTGGGCATGAGGTAGAGGATATACTTAATATAACAAGGTATGCAGTTTCCACTGTGATTCGTTTGCGAAACGAGATAAACGGGATAGAAAATGAGGCAATCATATCCCAAGTTACGAAGAATGGGAGAGAAGTACTATTAGACATTATTAGGAAATGGCTTCGAATTCCATTCCAGATGCCTAAGCATTTTTTTAATACAAGGTATATCTTGCAAACTGTTTCCAATAGTTACCTTCTTTTCTCTGCATATTTTCAATTAAAAAAAACCTTCTACTAAATCTATCGAAGATTAGCTAAGCTGCTCCACTGCATAATGATCTTTAGCGTTATCTTCTGTAATCGGTTCCCCCCCTAGAATTAGAGTGGACCTGTTTGTGATAACTGATATATTTTCAAATTTTTGATATTCTTGTTTTTGAAATATTGTTAAATCTCCAGGCCTTTCATTGGTTCAGAACTCTTTGTCTTCAGCACATACACCAGAAATCAAAACCAGATTGTTGTGTTGTCCGGCTCTCACCTCTCGCTAAATCTGTGTCTTCAACTGAGAAACGCCTCACCCGGATTCTCACTTAAACTGACCAAGTTGTACTGTCTTCTCCACAGTAGAGTGTCCTCTCCGAAGCCGTCCCACAGGGAAGGAAACAATGAAGAAACGGAAACGGAATCGAATCGACAGCCTTGGAAACGTGAGGACATGGTAGAAATGAACGAGAAGTTATTTCGCTACGTAACGGAGCGCGAAAAGAAGACTAGTCACGGTAAGCGTTTCAGGGACAGTGATACAAAAGATGAGCAGATAGCTAATGAATTTGTGTGCTTTGAACCAAATGGTAAAGGCCAAGGATTTTCAAGCTGTGTACTTGACGTATCTCATTTTCCAGTGGGTTCTTACAGAATAGAATGGTATAGCTGTTGTATTGACAGTGAAGGATCTTACTGGACTCTTCTGCCATTCAACACTGAACCTCTGTTTACTGTGCAGCAATCTCATGTTATTGCTGAAGTTTAGATTTGGATTGAGCTCTTATTGACCAATTATGTTGACTGTTACTCGATTCATCCCGAATTTTAGAAAGATTTTATTCGATTCAAAATTTAATTCGATTTTAATATCATACAAAAATATTTTTTTCTGTTTATTTTATAAAGGTAAAAGGGTAATTTTGACCCTGTAATAAATTTAACTTATCATTTTTATTTTTATGATTTTTCGTATTAATTTAGTGTTAGAAGTTGTAGAAATAATAAAGCTGCAAAATTACAAAGCTATCCCCCAATACTGATATGTTTTTCTGGTTTGAGCTTCTCCATTTTCGTCGCTGTCACGATTCTCCGTTCTCTCTTTCTGCAACAAAATTGAATCCTGTTTAAATTTTTATACCTTTTGTAAAAACCTTAAAAAAAACTATTACCCAAAAAACCAAAGAGTTTTCGCCGTCTTAATTAGTTACCTATTTGGAATCACTGGAGATTTCTAGGGTTTTATTTCATGTACGACGGAGCTTTAATGTCTTATGAATGGAGATTTCCTACAACCCCTCCATCGCTCTCCAGTCCCATCAGTCATTGATCATAGCCACAATCGTTACCCTCCTCCCCCTCCTCCTCGCCGTCTGGTCATTATTCAAGAGGCCCCACAAATCCAACGTCTCCGCTCCCGCCACGTCAACCGGGAAAGAGGAAACAAGACAAGCCACACCCTCTTCTTCCTGCAACGGAGCCACCGATTCCGCGGCGTTCCTTAACGACGGTAGGGCTGGTGCCGTGGATGAGGAAATGGTAACGGCGGATGTTTCCAAGGTAGCGGCGGAGATGCAGAGCGGGGCGTCAATGATGGAGCAGCTGGTGCCCGAGATTACCACTCACGCGCTTAGTTACCTGGATTATCCGAGCCTTTGCCGGCTTTCTATGACTAATTCGCTGATGAGGAAGGCCGCCAATGATGATAATGCTTGGAAAGCACTTTATCACAAGGTACCCGGTTCCCCCAATTTTTGTTGCCTTTCGATTTTTATTTAATTTTTTGGCTTCAATTTTGATTTTTCATGAATTCTAATTTCTAATGTTCATAGTTTATTTCGCCTTTCATGGCATTTCTAACGAAAGTATGAATTTGGTCATTCATTATTTATTTATATAGTTCATAGTTTATTGGGAGATAAACTGAGTGCACAGAATCATTGCATGGCTTCTTTTTTTTTACCTCGAATGATGAGATGTACCCGTCATAATCGTTGCTTCTAATTTCCTCAATGGAGCTGAGCTTTCTTTCCCAAAATTTCACTGTGTTTTTTTAAAATTTTATTTAATATCAACTGTTGTAGTTGATTGATTTCCTTTTCCCCCTAATGGTGATATCTTTCTCAATTGGGATTAGTTATTAAATTTTCTTCCTTAATCTTTTGTTTGTTAGGATTTTACGTTGGAGCAAGATAGTGTAACACCGGTTAATGGGTGGAAGGCATACTATGCAGCTACAAGAGCCATAATGAATGTTAATACAGAATTCTTTAACATCATCAGGAGTAGGTCTTTTCCTGCTATGAGTTGTTTTTGGCTGAATGCGGATTATGTAAAGTGTATTCACGCATCGGGAGAACATTATTCAGGGTAAGATCTTTCAGTCCGATATCAGGAAAATGCAGTTTACTTCCTTTTGTTCTTATGATGGAGTGTTAAATTTCGATAATTTCTATCATTTTTTGTCAGGATTCTGCAATGAATTTGAAATTTTAGCTTTGAGGTAGGTCTGGGTAAACACTGAACAAAGCCAATAAAATTTTGTGTCATTTAACTCTCTTATCATGTTGCACGGTTGATTAAACTCGAGTGAAATGAGCTTGATGTTTTCCTATTTAAGATGTCTCTAGAAAATACCGCGATGATTCCAAAAATATATTAAGGTAGAGAAGAGCTTTAACTTGTAAGATGATTACATTTTGCTTTTATGATCGCAAAATTGCTTGTGCTCTTAGTTGCTAACCTGGTTCCAACATTGGAGTGCTTTATGAATTGGAATGACAGTGCATTTATCTCTACTTATTATCACAATCAACCATGCTGTTTAGAAATTCTATTTGAATTGGTATGTTAGAAGCAACTACATATAAATAGAATTCTTGCGAAATGACAGATATTGTAATTTAAGAACCCAAATGATGAATGTATCACTTAACATTTATATTGAGTTGAATAAATGATGTATTTCCTATCGTGATCGGGGAAAGCGTGAATGAAAAACATTTATTTCAAGATATATTGCACGGTAATTTCCTTTTCTTTTTGTTCATCCCTTTTGTCACAAGCTTGATCCTTCGTCACATCAGAAGATTGGATGCTTCAGAAAGTTGGTTAAGATCAGTTTTCAGCATGTAGAATGTATATCACCGTAGTATTCGACTCGATTAGGCTCAAGTCTTTATATCACTGGTTTGCTTTATATACCGTATTAACTCTGAGAACCATTGGGTTTTACTACTTGCAGGTATAATGCTGTAATACAGAGTTGGCAGGTTGCATTTAATTGGGAGCAAGATGTTGATTTTCAGGTTAGAGATGTTCGAGCCCGGGTACTGACAGACATGGCATGGGTTACAATGAAAACCTTTGTTGACATAGATAGCGGACCGTTTAACATGACGAACGTCTTTGAGTTCCATCACGGACGGTGGTACCTTGTACATCACCACAGCTCAGTAATGCTGCCTGCCGGTGGGGACATGGGACAACAGATTCATGGATAACAGAAGATGGAGAGTTAAATTCGAAGTGATAATTTTAGTAGTAGCTTCAAAACATGGTACTGGTAATTTTATTTGGTTACCAAAAGCAAGTTGCTTGAAATTTCCGTGGAATGTCTTTTCAATGATCCTTATATTTTTGGCTTTGCCATCTCAGTTTTGGGTATTTTCTGGTAAATGGGGGACTCTTTACGTTTTTGTCCTTTGATTATTTGTTTGCCTCTTAGTATATCATAATTATGGCTGTACATAACATATTTCTTCAACTATTGTTGACATGAATGTAAACATGTAGATTGAAGGTGGATTCACAAATCATAGATGTTGCATGATTTGCAGGATAAAGTGCCTGAAGGGTTAAATCTAATCACCAATGCATGTGATAGAATCATTATGGATAAATTTACTGGCATCCATGGCCCTTAGCAAAACTATTGGTTTGCATGTACATGATTATCCCCCGATTGGTTTACAGCAAGTGCTGGGGCGAAGCCAAAGGGAGGTGGGGATGTTGGAGTGTAAATTAACTGAGTTTGAACAAATATGATTGTGTTTGTGTTTATTTGTTTATTTTTGAAAGTTTTTATGTCGTGTCTATTTAAAGTTTTAATATTGTCTCTGTATTCGTTTGTTCATGAACATAATTGAGTCGAATACACTTCTATTCGTGCTCATATATTTTTTAAATGAATATAAAAGTTTTATCCATATTGAGTTATTTAACTTAATAAATGGTTGTCCCTTGTTCTCATATGTAATGGGGTAAGGGGAGGTAAGATAGTAGGCTGCCCCAACACTAGGTTAAGAGCAGCTTCCGTAGGAGACATCTAAATTATGAAATGCCCTCCCTGAGACATAAACGAATGTTATAAGAATATTTCGTCAAACGCTTTATTCATTTATACCTTTAAGGATGTTTGATGTCTCGATCTACCTATGTGGTGTGTATATATTTTAAACTTTATAAATTTGTTTCAAACTAGTATTATTATAAAATATTATTTATTGTAATTTACAGAATTTAATGAATATACTGAATAACGAAATATATTTTACAAACCTATTATAAATAATAAAATCCAAGAAAAAATTAAATTGGTTTCATGGTCTAGTGATCAGGACATTATACTCTGCATCCATTAACCCGAATTCAAATCTTGGTGGAACCTCAATATTTTTCTTGATATTTTACATTCTGCATTTTCATGTCTCATTCTGGACCGTATATTTTGCTTAGAGCGCTGGAGCTCGTGGCTGACTGTTTATCCATTTCCGCATAAACGCACACAGAGGAAATGACAATGGCACTTCTCTCAGGACCACCACCACCACCACCACCATCTCATAAAACCTTCCTCTTTCAACGCCCTTACTCCACCTGCTTTCGATCCATAACTTGTATCAAGTACCCATTTAGGCCCACCGTCCCTTTCTCCAGTACTGCTTCTTCTTCAACTGCTGAAGACGAACCTTCAGCTTCACCTGATGGCGTCGCTGCCACCGCGGTTGCGGTTGAAGATCCTTCTTTCAGGTACCATCCACATCCGTATAACTCGGAGATCAGTTTTAGTAAATTAATAAGAAAGCTTAACCAATGGTCTGAATTTCGATGGTAACTGCTTAACTTTCATGGGTTAATTACAGTTAAACGCACTTTTCTTTCGAGTTTCTTGAATCTGTGAATTAGCTAATTTACTGTTAACCAATGGCCGCTGTACATTACGTACAATAAAAAATTCAATATTGAGGGTCATTATTATGGCCTTACAGCTAGGTTTTAGGAATTGCGATTTGGTAGTATTTATGGAGTGGAAAGGAATATAGTTTCCTCGGGTTTGTATTGTAATTTTTTATGTATTTTCCCCTTTTGGTAATTTCACCTAAGAAGATGGCTGACATACTGACAGGGGTTGCAAGGCCTGTGGAAAAGAGGAATTGGAGTGGGGATGCGATGGTGAGGGTAGGATTCAAGGAGGGATTGCAACAGTCCCGGGGTTTGGTTGGTGGCCTATTAAGGCTTACCGTCCTTGCCCAGCATTTGTCGCATCCGGCGGTCGGTACACTCGACGTGGACAAAGCATGGATGATGTTGCCTCCGGAGGAAGAGGGAGAGTGAGTCCTGTGGGAAATGGTGATGAGGCTGAGTTAAGGTAAGTTCAGTACTTCATTTTCCTTGTTTATGTATGGTAAATCGTATACACTTGATTGCTCTGGTTTGGGATTTAATAAATTTTTTGATTAGTTTAGTTGAATTCGTTTACTTGAGTTGGAGGAAACATTCCGGGTCTGAAAACCTCTAAATTTGAACCGTGAGATGACTTCCTCTAGCCATAGAATTAGAATCAGACCTTTAAAGGAAGGCACATCATATTTACTGCATACACCTCGTATGAACACTTGTATGCATGCATCCTCCAACCACCACTCTTGGAAGACTTAGGGTGAAAAAAGAGTGCACTTGTAATGGTCTTTCATTAGTCGACATTATCCTATGTTACTCGGACTCGAGTACAAATGTCGGGGTAGTGGTGTGTCTAGATATCCAACTTGTCAATCGAGTTAAACTCAAAAGTCAAGGATACAACACAGAAGGATTACGGGGAAGGATAAGTGTGTGGGGACTCATTTTATATATCCTTTATTACACAATAGGAAATTATTTTCTTATTGAATTGGCGTCTAATTAGCCCGTGACACTAACTTTTTAAGTTAGTAGACCTATGCAAGGAGTTGAACGCCAGCTTTATCACCATCCAGGCTGTGTCTTTCTGCATGCGGTGCCTGATTAAAAAACCAAAAGATCTGAGCTCTTAATTGGTCCCACCTTCGCCATTATATCTGCAACTTTATTAGCTTCGCGGTATATATATTGTATACTGTTATTGGTGTCATTTCATCTAAGAATATAACAAATCTGATCCATAGCCTATACCGTGATCTGTGTCATGTCGTGTTGAATAAAGTGTGGCTCCCATTTTGGTAAGACCGAGGAAGGACATTATCAGTGTGTAACCAATGATCTATACAAGGAGGTGGACCATCAAGTAAAAACTCTCCCACGGCTAATTATAGTTAACTTAGCAAGGGGATGTGTCATGTGCTGGTCAATTTACCGTCCGAAGAACATGCTTCAATAAAACCACTCTAAAACTCACACTAAGAGATTTTTAATATCATCGATTAGATGCCCCAGACTCGATACTAATCGATCATTGCTTGTTAGGTATTTGATCACAACTAGAGAATCATTTTCAATCTCTACAAGCCTGACCTGCATTTCCAAAGGCCATTTGATGCCTAGCAAAACCGCATTTGCCTCCATCAAAGTGTGTCCACATGGCCAGCTTGCTTCCACGATAATGCTGCAATAAAGGACCCATTTGCGTCTCTTAAGACCGCCCCAAATCCCATCTTTTTACCGCGTTTGCCTCATTCTGCACCAACATTTACCTTCCAAAAACCATGGGAGCGGTCTTTTCCATTTAGTTACTAGTAGGCACTGTCCAAAACCAGGAAACACTAGTTGATTTGTTGTTTTCAACTGGTGAATATACTCTGTACACCAATCGGGAGATGTCCCGGTCTGATAAAAACTATTCGGCATACCCCACACACTCCAATACATTACCAAATATTCTCGAAGCATGTTATAGTACTGTTTGAGATCAAATTACGGATAATATCTTAACAGTTTTTGTGATGTTGTTGCCTTAAAATGCTGAAACATGAATAGCAAAAACTACCGTCAGGCCCGTCTAACAACTGCAGCTCGACCTCCCATCTGCTTAACATACACATAGAGTCAAGATTAATGCCTCTCGTAAGTAGATTGAACCGAGTAGGAAGAAGGTTGTGGAACATGTGCCAGCTAAAAATATAAATCTTGCTCAGAACGGCTAATATTCAAAATGATGTGTACTAATCGTAGTCAGTTTGTTAGCAAAGTCTCTATAAGCCGATTTCACCGAGAAGAATCTCTGTTGCAATAAGCAGATCCAACGGTAAGTTTGCAGTGCTGACTGATATCTACCCTCCTCACGGGACACCACTGCACAGACCAAACCCTCCTGCCGTGAGTGGGATCGACAGACGTTATTCTTTTTACATGTATGATCTATTATAATCTATTAAATCCGATTCAGTCCATCTGTTATTTCTAGTTGTTTATTCAAACTGATTCAACCATTCTGTACTGATATTTTGTTAGTTCGAGTTAGAAAAAAAGTAGGAACTTAATCCAACCAAACTTTCACTTGTTTCGTGGTTGCATTCTGAATGTTGTTCTGGTTTATGAGATAAACTGATGAATCCTTCATTCTTGCAGCAAGGGAAATCAAGGTCCGAGGAAGTTCAAAAGTTAATCAATTGCAACTGCAAGATTACGTCTCTTCAGAGAGGCCAGACCTCACATGCCAACATTGATATATATATATATACACACAAGGGACAGGATACATATTGTCAAACATTTTGTACTATCTTATATTTTGATAATTCAACCATTATATTTCGTGTTCTATTTAAATGAATAATACATTGTACGCAAGTGTGGTTGGCAATCAAATGACGTCCTTGTAACCTCATTTTCTGACCAAAACTCCATATGAAATAATCAAACACCTAACCATATATTAAAAAAAAGGGAGGGGTGTTCTAGAATGATGGGAAAAAAGACAGTTTAGGATGGTCAACATCTGGCCAACGACAATTTGGCATGAAAAGAATGACCAATTTACCATCCTTAATTGAAGGATTCATTGTGGTAGGTAAATTATCTCTTTCTTATTTTATTATTATGAGAAAAGATAGGCCAACTTTCAGGGCCTTGGATACTTCACCTCTTTTACCACCTCTTTTTCCGCATCTATGGCTGACGCCTCACCCGCCGATTGCTTTAACATTAAACGACAAGTACATCCTCTTGTGCGCTGATCACGGGTAACTTTAAATTTCAAGTAAACTGTGGTTTTAACATTAATGGTAAAAATTTGTGTATGCCGATCATTTACAATAGCTTTCAAGACTCGGTGAGGAATATATAAAGCAATAGATCAGATTCTAATTAAATAGCTTTGATGTGATGAGGTTGATAATTGTTTGCACTCAATTGGTTATTGCCCCCCCCCCATTTTCTAAGGCATCATTAGGCCAACCTGCCAGATCAGTTCGTCTACAGAAGCATAATCAATGTTTATCTAGATAAAAACAAATGCTTTGGATAAACTTGCATTGATTTTCTCATCATTTCTTTGAGCTCCTATAACAAATAAGATCATGTATGAATTGTTTGCACTCAATTGGTTCTTTTCCCCCCATTTTCTAAGGCATCATTAGGCCAACCTGCCAGATCATGAGTTTGTCTACAAAAGCATAATCAATGTTTATCTAGATTAAAACAAGAACTTTGGATACACTTGCATTGATTTTCTCATCGTTTCTTTGAGCTCCTATAACAAATAAGATCATGTAGGAACTACGATATTCAGTGCTCAGTGCACAACACTGCAAATGCGCACGCACACCAAAATCTCAAGCTACATCGTATAACTTAACAAATTAAGTTGATGTTCATCACTAGTTTCAAGTATTATTATTTATGCGTACACCAAACAGTATGTGGATCCATAATACTCAGTGCACAACACTTCAAATGCACACACCAAAATCTCAAACTACATCGTATAACTTCACAACTTAAGTTGATGTTGATCACTAGTTTCAAGTATATTATTATTTATGCGTACAAACAGTATGTGGATCCATAATACTCGGTGCACAACACTGCAAATGCACACACCAAATCTCAAACTACATCGTATAACTTCACAACTTAAGTTGATGTTGATCACTAGTTTCAAGTATTATTATTTATGCGTACACCAAACAGTATGTGGATCCATAATACTCAGTGCACAACACTGCAAATGCACACCAAAATCTCAAACTACATCGTACAACTTCACAACTTAAGTTGATGATCATCACTAGTTTCAAGTATTATTATTTATGCGTACACCAAACAGTATGTGGATCCATAATACTCACCGTCCTAGTTTCACAAATACATAAACTCTATTCTCTTAGTTATTCTTCAACTCTTTCCCTTCATTATCTGTGTATTTGTATCTGTATGTGCTCAAGCATCTTGCTCAGAATTTAATATCAGAACCCAAGCTATCACCTTGATCAGCAAATATATCCAACAGGGAAAGCGCCTGCAAATTTTACCAGCAAAATTTAAGATCAGAACCCAAGTTGGTAAACTAGGCAAAATTATTGGTTAGCATCAAAAGTTTGCAGTGAAAATTTTACCTCGGGAATGTTGAGTTCGAGGCGGAACTTTGGACCATCGTAGTGATGGAGGATTGGCCTAAACGAGTCCTCTTCGAGTGGCTCGCAGATTTTCCTTGTAATAACACGAACCTATGTAGAATCAAAAACCTTAGTATTCCTCAACAAGATAGTGGAAATAAATTAGTTGGATGTTACAGAAATTCTAAGAATGAAATGAATACCTGAGCAGGGAATCGTGATTCGCCAGGGCATTTCTTGTCCTCCCAGGCAGTTGGGTCAATGTTTGTTCCACCAAAGCTTGCAGCCTCAAAAACTCCATGGAGTTGGTGGGTGGAGTAGTTGTAGAGGAACAGAGGCAGGCCAGGAGTTATTGCCCGGACTGAATCTCGGTAACGTGGAGGCAAACCTTCATATAATTCATAGCAAAAATTAAGGAATATAACCATAATCTTGTTCAAAATTCAAAATCAAATCAAACCCAGACTTGTTTTTTAGGGGGAAAAAGGTCAAAGACATACCAAAGAGCTGTCTCTTGAGATTCTCTTCCATGGTATCGTTGTTGCAGACGAAAATATAGCCTCCAACAGTTTCATTCCTAAGCAAAGATTCCGATGGCGGCAGCGTCTTAAATCTCTTATCAGCACCACTCTTCCCATCCTTATCCTTATTTTCGTTGCTATAGTTGTCGTTGTTGCTGTTATTCTTCTTGTTATTGCTCTTCTTCCCAGTTTTGCTTCCATGAATCTCCTCTCCTTTATTCTTATTACCCTTCAAATTAACATTGAAAGTGTTGTTGTTTACAGGCTTCGAATATATCCCTTTATTGAACCCTCCGTTGACCCCAATATTATTCTGATATCCAATCGGACCGAACCCGATGCCGATGTTGCTGGTGTTGCTAGGGGCTCCGATTTTCCAGCCGTCGTTGCTGAAAGAGTTGAAATCGGAGACTCTCGGCTTTAAGCCGTTGACGGAGTTCACATCGCCTCCGACTCTGATGTCAAAATTCCTCCTCTCATCGGGCCTCTTCGGGAGATATCCGTTGCTCCAGATGGAATCGTTGAGCGAAAGATTAGCCAAGTTCAAATTCTGGACTCTAAGCTGATCACTGAATTGCCAAAAGGATTGCTGGTTGTTCTCCATCGGAAACTCCAACTCAGAAACGATATCTGGGTATCAAAGATGAACTAATTTCACAATATGGTAACAAAAATATATGGAGTCCAATCTGTATAACTTGTGAAACTGCTATGGGAAAAGCAAAAGGAATATGCTTGAGGAAGATAAAGATAAAAAAGCGAGTATTAAATAAGGAGGGATTTAGGGATCTAAAGGAAGATAAACAAAAAATTGGAAAATACGTGGAAGCTGGGTTGGGGGTGGGTGGTTTTCACCGTTTTAAGATTGCGTGTGGACTCATCAAGATCCAAAATTACACTGATAATGAAATATAAATTAATTATAATTATATTTTCTTTATTTTATCTCTTTCAGATTATTATTAATTTTAAAACATGATCTCGTTTTTAAATCTAATTCATAGGAACAAAATAACACTTTAAATTTACTTTGGAACCAACCAACCAACCTACTTCATTACTTAAGAGAATTATTATCGTTTTTAGAGATTATGAGTTTGAATATCAACTATTGTAACAAGATGATTGAACGGTCATTATCAAATTATTGTGATATTTAGAACAAATATTACTTTAAATTTTTATAATTTTTAATATTATTTATTAAATTTTCAAAATAAATAATATAAAATTAGCTGACCATATTCCCATATGTAATGGGTAAGGGGAGATAGGGTAGTAGGTTGTTGCTCCCAACGTCAGGTTGAGAGCAACTTCCGTGGAATACCTCCGTTATGAATTGCCCTAAGTGGGACTCGATCTCACGACCACAAGATTAAAAACCCTGTGTTCTACCAACTGAGTTAGAGAGACAATTCAAAATAAATAATATAAATTCTTTTTAAATACATAGTGTTTTTTGTGTTTTGTAAATAAAAAAAATTAAAAGATGAGGCAAGCAGGTTGAAAACGAGTGATGACGGGTGAAACGCGGTTTCACGTGGCAGAAGAGAGGAGGGCTAAGGCGCTGGGTCTTCTAGGAGGTTCATTGATGCCGTGTCCTCTCTTTCCTATTTTTTATTATTGCTAAAATATATTATATTTAAATAATTATTTTGATTATTGAATATTTCAGTTATAAATAGTTATTAGATTTATCAATTTATTATAAAATATTTATTAATTTTATTAATTGTTATAAAATAATTATTAAATTATATATTTTATTATAATATAATAATCATTTTATAAAATGATAAAAAAAATAATAATTTAAATGTTTAATAATCGAAATAATCATTTGAATACGTTTTAGTAATATACTGTGTATTTTAATTTTTTTCTGTTATATTTTAAATTTTGTTGAGAAACAATCTCTGCTTAGGTGTCGAGACTTTTTATCAAAGGCGGTGTGTTTGAAAATGTCTTTTCAAATAAGTTTTTTCAACGAATGGGAGAGCCTTAGAGTAAACTTTATCCGTTGAGCGACGGCCCTTTCATTCGGCACCGTCGGATCACTAAAGCCGACTTTCGTCCATGTTCAACGGGGGAATCTTGCAGTCAAGCTCCCTTCTGCCTTTGCACTCAAAGGCCAATCTCTGTCCGGCTCGAGGAAACCTTTGCACGCCTCCGTTACCTTTTGGGAAGCCTACGCCCCATAAAAATTGTCTATCTGAGACTGTCCCTTGACCCGTAGGTCCTGACACAATGTTAGAATTCTAGCTCTTCCAGCTATGGGTCCGGGTGACCTATTTCCAGATAAACCGACTCCAACTTTGCAAACAAAATTGGATTCTTTTTTGCTCCTTTTACTCGCTTTTGGAACTTTCGTAAAAGCATCCGATGAGTCACCGAGTACGTGAAGGTTGGGTATAATAGGGAATAAGAAAAATTAGTGATTAATTATTTTTTCTTAAAATGTTTCGCCTTCATTAATTTAAACCGACCAACGTCGTACCCTTAATTTTAGTGTACGAGTCTTTTCGTAGAAATTTTTTCGCATACATAAGAGTTCGAACTCGAAATATTGTTTAAGCGATATTAAAATGTTTACCATTTAAAATAATATGCGGTAGTAATAAATGATTAATATTGACTAGTTTACATAATGCACTAGAGGGGATGGTTTGAATCTTTTGGGGGTGTTTGGTACAAGGATTATGGGATTCCCATGGGATGAGAATCCCACATTTCTATGTTTGGTTGGCTGGGAATCTCATTCCCGGTAATGTTTTATTACTAATAGTAGATTTTTTGGGGTATATTACCGGGAATGTCATTACCTCCCTTCCCTTAGGTATTGTAACATTACCGGCGTTTTGGACTAAAATGCCCTTAAATTTTTATTTTTTTTCAAAAATATCATTATTCTGTCATTGAATAATAAAAATTTTACGAAGGTTAAATTACAAATTTATGCTTAAATTATTTTAGATTTACAAAAAAAAAAGTCTATAATTAAAATTTTATATAAAGTTCAGGGGTTAAAAAAAATTACCCTTTCATTAAACCTTTTTTATATTTTTAATTTTGTAAAATATATATATATATATATATTATGAATTTAATTTTTTAAAGAAAATATATAAATATTTTTCAATTTGTAATATTATACAAATATATAATAAGGACAATTTGGTCAAATATACATTCCAATAATCTTTTATTCCTTTAATCAAACAAGGTAATCTTACATTCCTGCTAAACCAACCAAACACATAAAATATAACATTCTCAGTAATCCTATTCACTGGTAATCTTTTATTCCCACTGATAATCTTACATTCCGTGAACCAAACGCACCCTTTATCCTTGAATGTCATCATCAACGTTTTCATTTTGAAGTGAGTATTTAGAAAAAATATGTCCCAGATTTAGGGTTTGGGACTAAAAGTCAAAGGAAGATGTATTGAGCTCTCATCAATGATTTCAAACCGTTACCGGTTCCAAAATGGATGCAGGGGTCAGCCAACTGAACTTGGAGCTCGTCCTTGAGCACACGGTTGTGACTTGTGAGGCTAAACAAACATATCAACATGGGAAAGGGTATCCGTTCGCCGTGGGTCTGTTTAGGTCAGAGTTTAAGTTAGTTCAATTTAGTTTGAGATTATGTCTTTTCAACTTAAATTTGATTTGATTCGAATTTAGAGAAGTTTCGTTCAATTCAAAATCGATTCAAATTTTGAGTTAAAATATGCGTTGGACTCGATTCGACACGACTCAAATATAAAAATAATTTCTTTTAGTAAAATAGGGATTTAATTAAAAAATGTAGAGAGAAATATTATAACAATAATTTATAATTATATATAAGAAAATTATACTATTAGTTTAAGACAAGTCAGATAAAAAAATTCACCTTAAATCTAATTATATATAAAAATTCACCAAATTATATATTTAATTTTCAATAATAATTGTAAACTCTTATTATAATTTTAGATATTTTTATTTTTTAATAATACTAGTTGAGTCAATTAAGAAAATTATAATATACACGTGGATGAAGAATTTTAAAATGGAGATTCTTTTTCAAAAAGAATTACTATTACACGTTTTATAAGGTATGCAACATGCACAATCATATCCGTAACGCTATAATTATAATTTAAAATATGGTAAATTATGCATTTAATATCTAAATTATCAATTTTGATTTATTTTAGTATTAAACTTTTAATTTTTTTTTTAAATCATATCTAATGTTTTGGGTTTTTTTTTCATTTTAGTATCATGTTAAAAATTTAACGTTAAATTTTGAAACAAATTGTTAGTCTAGGTACTAAAATGATCAAAAACTGATAGTTCAGGTATTACGCTCGTTAAGCTTTTAATGATAGGGTACTAAAATGAAACAAAACCTAAACATTAGGATCTGTTTGTTTGGGTATAATTGATTTTCTGGAAAATGAATTACTGGAATTTGAATTCTGGAAAATGAATTACATTTCTGGAAAACGTTTTATGATGTTTGAAAGATGTTATTTAAACCTTTTTTCCACTAGTTGATGAGTTTTTGAAAAATTACTTATTACAAATATTAAATACAATAAATAATATTATTTATCATAAAACTTAATATTATTATTTTTAAAATATTAAAAAAATTATTTATTATTAAATATTATTTTTATAATTTTATTAATAAATGTTAATATTGGTATATTTTAGTGAAATAAAAATATTATAAATTATATGAATTATTTATTAAAGTAATAGTGTTAAATTATATTTTAAAAATATTAATTAGTATATTTTAAATATCTTTATTAAAATATTATTAGATTATTATATTAATATTAAATATATAAATAATATTATTCATTATTAAATATATAAAAAATTATTATATATTTATTAAAATAAAAATATAATATATTATATTATTATAATATAATTGATTATTTTATTATAATATTAAAAACATTATATTATATTATTACAAATATTAATAAATATATTTTAAATATTTTAATAATTATTATTTTGATGAAAATGATATTAAAATATTTTATTAATATTAAATTTATAAAACAAAATTATTTTGAATATTTATTCTTTGAAGTGAAAAGTTCGGAAAATGACTTACGGAAAATCAGACCATAAGTCATTTTTCAGAAAACACGAAGGAAATTATGTTGACCAGGAAAATGAATTACGTTTACCAACCAGTTTTCCTCCAACCAAACACTGGAAAACATTTTCCGGAAAACGAATTACATGAAACAAACACATGATTTCGGGGAAAACCAATTCCTTAATTCATTTTACGGCAAACAAACATACCCTTACACTACACCAAAAGTGGCTTATTGCGGCATTTTTTTTTTTATTTCTAGCGGCGTTTTTAAACGCCGCTAAAAACACATACGGCGTAAAAAAAACGCCGCTAAAGTTTGCGGCGTTTTTCAACAAAAAAACGCCGTAATAGGTTACAACATATAGCGGCGATTGTTCAACAAACGCCGCAAAAGGTATTGATATTTAGCGGCGTTTATCATTAAAACGCCGCAATAGGTTTTGATATTTAACGGCATTTGGCAGACAAACGCCGCAATAGTCGTTGATGTTTAGCGGCGTTTTTGAAAAAAATGCCGCAGTAAATTTTTATTTTTACCGGCGTTTTCCTAAAAACGCCGCAGAATATGTATTGAGATTTTG